GTAATAATATTAATTTCTATTATTAATTCGTATATTATGCTAATGTAACAAAACTTTTTATTTATTTTCTAAATTTCACCAATCAAATGCGAGCTGAGTTTCGACGGACCAATAAAATGCGCGAATAGTTTTAGACGCTATAATAGTCTAAACTTTAAAATGCATAACCTCGGAAATATAAATATTAATCATTATTAATGAACATAGCTGTTAAAGATCTGTCGTAATTACGTAATAATATTAATTTCTATTATTAATTCGTATATTATGCTAATGTAACAAAACTGTTGATTTATTTTCTAAATTTTACCAATCAGATGCTAGCTGTGATACAATCAACCAATCAAATACGTGGATTAAATTAGTTTGTAGATGTCGCTGTCGATAAATAATCGATCGCGTACCCAACCTATATTAGTATTCAATGTTGTGTGAGTAGCATTAGTTGCAATACGTGCAAGAGCTTGTTAACGTGTTTTCAAAGAAAAGAAAATCAATGATATATGTATGCAGTAGTTTATATAACGACGCAATCGGCAAAGGGATTCTGGAGAGAATTTTGAATCAATTCATAAACGTACACCGAAGGTGAAACATGTAAGTCTTCTTACACCTTAACATTATATTTTGATAAATTTATTCAAAAGTCTTATTCATTATAACCAATGCGTATCTAATTATTTTAGTTAAAAAATATTTTACAATGCGTGATATCAAACAAACAAAACAAGAAAATAACGTTCATATATATCTGACGCAAACTTAAAAAAAAAAAAAAAAAAAAAAAAAATCAGATTAATTTTTCCTTTTTTTTTCCCTCCCTCCCTTTTTTACTTTGGTCGAGTCCTAATCTAAGAGGATACGTTATACATTCGATAAATTGATATTGTTGTTTATAAAATAATATTTATGTTCTATTAAGATTTATATATATATATATATATATATATATATATATATCTTATACTACAAAATAAATGTTATAATTAAAATCGATTAATATCAAACGTAGGTATATGATTATGCGTATTGTATTGTATCACCGAAAGTGGTTTCCTTATTATTTTTCTTTTTTACCATTCATAAAATTCACTATGTTTAATGTATACAATCGTTTTGTACTTATTAACCCTTTGAATGAATATATATATATATGTATATATATATATGTAATACACATGCTCCTCGGCGAATATTACGTCGCACAATATCTTAATAATAATTTAAGATCGAAAGAAGCGTCGCAATCAAAGAGTTAATTATTATTATTGAACTTATATCATAACTTAACCTAATTCCGCTAAAACCGAATCCAAATCTTCTTGCAACGTAATACTTTCTTCTCGTTGTTTGGCCAAATCGTCCTTTAATCTGTCGACTTGTGCCTTTAAAAGATAATTACCTTTTTTTAAAGCGGCCAATCGATTTTCATGTCTCTTTACGCGTTTCTAAAATGAAATGAAATAAAGATACGATATTAGATTGTCAATGGATAACCTCAAAAAAAAAAAAAAAAAAAAAAAAAAAAAAAAAAAAAAAAAAAAAAAAAAAAAAAAAAAAAAAATTGAGAAAGAATATAATTGTATAATTTGTATATATTACAATGTTTACCTGTAAAATATCTTTCTCTTGTTCAATAGTATGTCCTATTTCATCGATCTCAGATTCTTCCTCCTCTTCGGATTCTTCAGATTCTGATTCTTCGGATTCCGTTTCCTCATCCTCTTCTTCTTCCTCTTCATCGTCGCCATCAGCGTCGGCCATTAATTTCGCCATTTTGTCGACTTCCTTTTGCAAATGTTTAAACTTACGTTTCTCTTCTTTTAATAATTTCTGTTGTTGTTTTATCTGTTCCTTCAATGCGTGCCTCTCCTTTCTAGCATTAACGGCTTTGTCCCTATTTTTTTTTTTTTTTTTTTTATATTAAAAAATATTTTTTTTAATTAGTCGTTGATTTTTTTTGGATTATTTTTCTTTATTCTCTTCTCTCTTTCTCTCTCTCTCTCTCTCTCTCTCTCTCTCTCTCTCTCTCTCTCTCTCTCTCTCTCTCTCTCTCTTTATATATATAAATATATAAAATAATTTTACTCACATAAAGTTTTTTACTTTGGTAGAAAGCAATTTGATTTCCCTCTGCAAACGTTTCTCCGTAGATGCTTTTGAATCTTCTTCATCCTCTTCCTCTGTACTTTCTTCTTCCTCCTCTTCTAATTCTTCTTCAGTTTCACTCATATCCTGTTGCTTATTTTCCATATTCTTTTGAGAAGCTATTCTTGCGACGTCTTTTGCGCTTGGACAACCAGCCAGTGCCATTCCTGAAAAATTGTACCATGCCTCTTCTGTGTTATCCTCGGCTAATTCCACAATTGGTTCAGTATCATCATCATCATCATCATCATCATCATCATCATCATCATCATCATCATCATCATCATCATCACTATCATTATCATTATCATCATCCAAGTTATCAACCCAACCCTCTCCTAAAAAGCATAATTAGTAGAAGCTGATTATAGCCAGTTGAAGCAAAGCAATAGAAAATTGAGACGCAGTTAGTGCAGCTGCAAATAATAATTAGCTAATTAGTTTGTTAAAAGGATATATATATATATATATATATATATATATATATATATATTTCAACGATTAAAAATCATTTTCTTTTCTTTTCTTTTTTTTTTCTTTTTCTTTTTTTTCCACAAAATTTATTTACCAGCTTTCATGCGTTTCTCCAAATTGTTATAGATCCTTTTCATTTCCTCCAATTCATTTTTATACTTATCCCTTTCCTCAGCCGTATTAGCATATTCCTTTTCTAATCTTTCAACGTCCTTCCTTGCAGCACGAGCTTCCTCTTTCAATGATTCCGTTAATTTTTCCTCTTGTTGTTTATACTCTTGTACGTTCTTTTGCGATCTCGTTCGTTCTACCTCAGCTTCGAGATTTAAAATTCTTGCCTGTAAAATGAAAAATATTTATACATTTATATTTATTATTATTATTATTATTATTATTATTATTTTCTCAATATAAATCTAATCTCATTTAGATTCCTCTAAAATATATTGATCTATTAAACGTATAAATGACAAAAGTCAATGTTAAATATTTAAAAAAAAAAAAAAAAAAAAAAAAGATTATCACCTGCAATCTTTTGTTCTCCCTTTCTAATGCCTCCTTATTTCTAAGCTCAATTGCTAGCATTTGTTTGGTACTTTGCAAATCATCCCTAACTGCATCGATGTCGTCGTCATCTATTACATCATCTGGTTCATCTTCTGCCTCAACCTTTTGCATTTGTTCCTCTATCGTCAATTGCCTTCTAAATTTCCTAAGACCCTCCAATATAGGTTTCGATCTGTCATTGGTCTTAACGCTTTTCAATTTGACACCCTGCTGAATCTGCTTCAGCAATTGATTGTGCATATTTGACTTTTCTGACTCGAATACGAAGTGGGCCTTGCCTGTTTTAAATGGGGGGAAAGAAAGAAAAAAGAAAAAGAAAAAAAAAAAAAGAAAAGAAAAGAAAAAAAAATAGTAGGGGGAGGGGGGAAAAATAAAATCAAATCAAATCAAATAAAAAGGGGAGAAAGAGAAAAAAGAAATATAAGGAAATCAAATCTTTGTTAGATTACGTAGAAATCCTTTCTAATGGGGTGGGTAGGGAGTGGATGGGGGAGGGGGAAACCTTGACAGCAAACCTTCAATTATGATACCATGCTAATCATAATTTATCATTGGCACATTAATTATCTTTCTTTTCTTTGATCGCACAAAGAAGGAAAAAAGAAAGACCGTACTTGAAATAGAAAGAGGAGGCAATGAGGGGGAGAGTTGGGGGTAGTAAGGAGGAGGAGGAGGAAGTTATGGTTTATACACAAAGAGAGAGAGAAAGAGAGAGAGAGAGAGACATAAACTAATGGTTAATTTCCACGATATACAATTAGCAATTTAATTGGCTTAATATTTTAACAATGAAAACACAAAACACCCATGTAGTAAGGTTCTCCTCATTGTTCTGAGATTGAGAGGAGGAAGGGGGGGGCGGCGGCAAGGGAGGTGTGGTGTGTGTCGAAGAAAGATAATATAAAAGCAAATTGAGGATTGGGATATTTGCAATCCCAAGAGACACAAGATATCCGATAATAAAAGACAATCCTATGGGAAACGTTAATTGAACATATAACTCATTAACAGGGTAATTAAATTTACATATGTGCTGTTGGATTAGTTGGGTAGGGGGGGGAGGAGTGAGAGGGGTGGGGTCAAATTGTCAGACAATGTCGTATATATATATATAGGATTAGAGAGAGATAGAGAGAGAGAAAGATACACACACACACACACATATATATATAATAATCTTTGATTTAAATGGACGAAGGAGGATTGTGATAAAATCGTAGATCACCTGCTGGATCAGCTGTGACCTTGTTAACTCTCTCGATCAAGGGTGCACTTCTGTCGTTGCATTTGACGTGTCTTAAACGTTTACCACTTTCAACCTCCTTCATCATGCTCGCCCAATCGGGACGTTTCCTTGGTCTTGATTTTAACATCTCCAATTGTTTCTCCTGACTCTCGGTCAATGGCGGTATATCCTTAAGGATTGAACGACTTGGTGGTGGTGGGGGTGGCCTTGGTGGGGGTGGGGGTGGAATGGCCGCCCTAGACGAACTCTTTGACAACGTTGGCGCACCTTGAATCAATCAGAGAATTATAATTATCGCTGAATTGATTCGTACGAATTATATTATGATTTTGTTTCATTTATTTTATTCTTTTTTTTTTTTTTTTTTTTTTTTTTTTTTTTCCAATGTTTTGAAACTTAGGCTGGGCTAAAAGTTACTAGATCGTACCCAAAAATGTTCTCTTTTTTTTTTTCTTCAGCCTACGTCAAGTGTCAATTATTTTTTTCTTCTTTTTTTTCTTTTTCGAATTACTAATTTATTATTATTTTTTTTCTTTTTTTTTTCTTCTTTTTTTTTTACGGATTGTTAGCTGATAAAACTATTACTACTGCTACTACAACAATAGTCCCTTGAATTGGGTTAATCGAATAGTCTCGAAGAATGATTCATTGACTTATAATAAAATCGACAATGAACATTTGGTCCAAACCTTTTAATCATTACAGTGACATTGGCATTGTAATAGTTCTTTTTTTTTCTTTTTTTTTTTGGAATGAGAGTGAATATTTTTCGTAGATTCAATTTATGAAATTATTTGTCAACTTGTTGTTAACTCGAGAGACCCGTGAGGGATTTTTTTTTTTTTTTTTTTTTTTTTTTTTTTTTTTTTTTTTTTTTTTTTTTTTCTTTTTTCTTTTTCTTTCTTTCCTCTTTTTGCGCAGAACAGAAAAATGTGGGCTTTGTTTTTGTAAACGTGGCTCATTATTTTATGATCAATCTTACCAGTTGAACTCTCGCTCTTGGATAATGGTACGGTGTCACCTCGGGATCGAGATCTCTCAATGCGAACTTGTCGCTCGAGTTGCGGCCTCGAATTTGGCTCCTGTCGTCCATTCTCTCGTGGCTTTGATGACGGAGGTGTACTACTTGTTGTCTTTGTCTTTGTCGTCGTTGTTGCAGCAG